GTACGCCTTACACAGCGGTGGTGATGACCCTGTTAAAAAGAGGCGAGCCCTTTTCCCCATAGAACGATACTGGATTGGCCCCATTTTGGGTAGACCCCCATGCAGGAACCGGTCCTGACGAGGTAGTTGTAAGATCTTTAAACAAATCTTGTGGAGAATGATTGACAAGACAATTCACTGACACCGTCACCTCTGCACACCTATATTGTCAAACCCAAACTGCCAAGCTAGGACTTATGGATACGAAAATGGCTCTATCATTTAATGTCTTGATTGATTGACGTATGCAACAAGAACGGTCAATCAACTTGATGAGGCCACATGTCATATCATCCAACGGGCCTTGTTTGTTTTGCTCAAGAATAAAAACTCACGTTTAGTACCATTCAAGGGTAATGCAAGTTTAGACCACAAAAGCTATATTCTTGCTACATACATTTTTAGCTATCTACCCCCAAGACAAACCCCTTTTTTATTGATTGGAGGCTCGCGTTCAAAGCTACCCCACACCCTAAATCATTCCTCTATTTGACTTGACCATAAGAAAAGGCCACGCGCTACCAACGGTTTGTCTGAGTGTTTCGGAACTCAGCTTGTGTGGACGTGGGAGGTTTTGGGATCTATTGGCCATATCATTAGTACATTTTTTGGGGTCAACAAAAATGTTGATTTTCACAGTGAAAGATATAAATAAGAGTGAAAATGTAAAAAAAAAAAAATGTAACGTATGGACGTTTTGCATAATAAAATCCATACGTAGGGACGTTTTGTGCTAATAACCTTTATTGTTACCATAAAAAAATCTATTGAAATACGGGGAGCATTTGCACATGTTACTGCGTTTTGCTGCAGTATGGGCTCTCTTATTTATTGTCAGATTGTAAATGTATTATTGAACAAATCTCTTCACACCTGAAATTTTGATATCCCATCACATTGTGATATAGAAAGTACATTGAATAATTTGTATTCCCAATATGCTATCAAACAAGGTAGGAACAATGATCCCCCACCAACTTGTGTTGTAGCATCATAGACTTTTATTTTATTTTTGGATTTTAAAAATTTTATAGAAATTTTCTGAGAATGTTATGGAGCTTTTAAGAATTTTTGGAGCTAAAATTAGGTTTTTATATTGTATGCAAACTAAATAAGTAAATAAAATAATTGCATATGTACCATTTTGACATTTAACACACTAATTTTGAGTCAGACTTTTACCATTGGAAGGGGGCCACCTTGAGTCCTGATAAGGGTGTTTTTATTCGTTTNCTTTTAGAACACTGATTATATGATTCCATTTGAGGGAGTTGATTTGGAATTTCGATGATTCTAATGCTTGAGACTTATTGCTAACAATCTGGGAAACTTTGTTGAAATGGGAAATGGAGTTATTATTATTTTTTTTTATCTTCTTGTGGTACTGTTGGAATGAGTGGAATCAAATATGTTTAATGGACGAAGATGTTCACCTGAGCTTATCATCAATGCTTCAACTACATATATAGATGATAACAGAGCTACTCTGCTCCGGGTTAACGGCATTAGACAGTGACAGAATCGAGAATGCAGCGATAGGAGGGAGTGGGAACCAACACTAAGACAATCGTTGATGCAGATTCACTGGAATTGATATTTTTGGCAAAATAGTTGGGTGTTTATTCGTACAAACAAGGGGGGGTGTCCGTTTGATAGGCAAAGATAGAAATGAATTCAAATTCCATGATAGTTGGAAAATAAAAATCCACCAAACCCATAGGAATTTGTTTTCCATGAAAACAAAGAAAATGTAGTTTAAAGTGGTTGTACATTGGAATTCAGTTTTCATTTCCATCTTGCAATCAATCGGCCAAAGTGAAATTTGTTTTCCTCAGCTGTGATATTTTCCATAGAATTCGTTGCAATCAAACATTGCCTTAGAGAAAATGGCATAGGCATGCATATATGCGCTGAATATTCGGTATTATTGGTTGGATTGTACAGAGACGAAAAAGAGACTGTCTTTGTGAGTCCTCGAAGGAATAAAGTTGAGAGACTACTGCGCACTTTGAATGTTCTAAGGGTCCGTTTGATTGCAAAATTGAAATTTGGATGGAAAGAAAATGAATTAGATGATTGAATTGTCTAGAATTGTTTTCCTGGGAAGTGTTAATTAATTGTGTTTGATTAGTATAATTTTTCACGTGGAAAATATTAAAATTTTGAATTTTTTGGTGTTCGTTTGACTTTATTTTATATAAAAATTATCTATTAAAGGAATATAATTTGTTACAATTGAGGATATAATTTGTTTCCATTATTTAAAAAAAAGGTGAAAAACCATTTTCCGACCAAAATGGTGGAAAAACCAATTCAATGAAAACCAAGAGAAGGGGGTTGTGTGAGGGGTGGGGTGGGGTGGGGGGGGAGGGGGGAAACCATTTGCCCATAAAATTTTGCCCATCAAACAAGTAAAAAGTTAGAATTTAGTGTATATCAAACAAAGCCTAAGTTCTATTTTGAAAAAGTTGATAGTAAAGAAAATATTATATATTATGAGGTTTGCTCATCTAATAGTGTTTTTTTTTTTGAGTGAATTGCCTATTTAGTCACTGAACTTTCAGCCATGCTTCCAATAGGTCACTGAACTTTAAAAATCATGCAATTAGTCACTGAACTTTGCCAATCGTCATGCCATTAGTCACTCGGCTCACTCCGTTAAGTAATTGGACGGAATTCTTACACAGTTGGCATTTTGAATTCTTTTAAAAAAAATTAAAAACCAAAAAACAAAAAAATTAAAATCAACCCCTAAACCACCTTAGAGCCACCACTTTGGACCACCAAAACTCCACCCTCCGGCCACCTTGACGTCGGATCAACATACCACCTTGAAGCCCTCTTCCCTCTTCGTAACCCACCCAAGCTCCGGCCATAACACCAACCGATTTGGCGAAAATTCAAGCCGAAATAGGCTGCCCACGCAACAAAAACTGGCCGGAATCTTCACTACCGACAACACCCATGCCCAACACAACCTCCAGATCGATTAATCTCCTCAATACGCACCTACATATGTCTTCATACCATCAAATACTACAAAAAATAAAAATTCCAAGCCAATTTCCCAAAAGCAGCGAACTCGGACCACCTACATTGATTTCCGGCGCCGGCGAGACGATTCACGATCGATGACCACCTCCACTAGGATCGCCTCATCAAGGTGCACCTAATGCACCTATGGGTCATCTCCAATTTTGCCCCCATATGGAAGAAGCAGCTTCGCATGAAATTTGCACAAGAAATCGCCCTTTCAATTGATGCTTCTCCACAGCTTCAACCTACAAATTGGACCAACCAACATGAAATTCATGAGAAAACGGCTGTGGGTATTGCTTCAATTGCTGCATTTCATCAAACAAAAGAAAAAAATTGGATTTGCATTAGAGAATGGTCTCGGCTTCACTCCAGTTTGGTTTCAGAGGTTTTTATTTTTCTTTTTTTCCTTATTAAAAATGCCAACTGTGTAAAAAATTCGTCCATTTGGCATTCACCATCATGCCACGTCATCAGACAAGTCACAATTCTGTCAAATTAGTTAACAGCCGTGAGCCGAGTGACTATTGGCATGATGTTTGGCAAAGTTTAGTGACTAATTGCGTGATTTTTAAAGTTCAGTGACCTATTGGAAGCATGGCTGAAAGTTCAGTGACTAAATAGGCAATTCACTCTTTTTTTTTTTTTCGTTTTTGTTTCTGCTGTGTTGAGTGCGATTCTTTTCCAATGCAGCAAGGCTTAGATTATCAGATCTTGGACGCAATCTTCGAGCCCCTTGCCTCGCCTTTTCTAGCTTTTCCTTCTTTCTTGCTTACCTAACTCGATAGTGGCTTTTCCTCTTGATGAGCGCTCTACACTCATAATATTTATGTCACTTAATACATTATTTTATTACCTTTGAGATAGTTTTAGAATGCTTTTATATGTGTTTTGATGTAGGTTGGTGAGATTGAAGAAAATAAGTAAAAGTTGACAAATTTGGAGAAAGACCTAAATTGTAAGAGATCCAAAATTCGGAGATTAAAGTGCAAATACTTAAAAGTTATGTCGAACCTCATGATGAAGATTTGAGAGTGCTCGGAGTCAATTGGATAAAGGAAGACATTAAAGGGATCAAATTTAATCAAAAGATTGTCACAAATCATCTTCCAACCAAAAAGTTATGTTCCAGAATTTTAGTCTCATATTGAGACTCATTTTTGACATAGTAAACGATCGAATTGCAGAATGATGTCTGAAGCAAAGTTTAGGCCTTTGAATTAGCTTTCCAACGCAACTTGTATCATCTCAATCT